CCCACAGCTTCTCTTTTGGTACGTTTATCCCTTAATTTTGCTATTTTCCTTATGTTTTGCTTGTATATCTAACATTTGGAGAAGTTTTATGATGGCTGTTGAACTTCTGCTGCCGACAATTCCTCATCTTAGCATATTTATTACTGCGACTCCCGCCGACCCTGAACTTCATGAGATGGATCGAGAGGCTGATCAGCAAGTTTAGCCGAAAGTGAAGCTACTTCCTGAATCCTGTTCCTTTCTGTACTGTAAAAACTAGTTTCACTAGGTATTGTCGATTTGTCGAGAGCGTTTCTTAGAGTTTATATATGCTCTTATCATGTAATTGTGGAGTTGTTCTAAACAAATCTGCAACTTGTTTGTCTTGTAAATCAGCACAATCTTATTTAGATTGTAACTCTCGCTTGAGCCCTAAAAAATAGTCCTGTCATTTTATAATAGAATTATACACAAGCCTGTTTACTCTCTATTTTCTCTTATATTCTTTCTTGTTCTTTTAATTTCCTATAAGATCTTTTAATTCTAATGTGAGCTTCTCATTTGATTGTATATTTTACGGGTTAGATGTATGGCTCATAATGATATTGAGATTGGACCAAAAGAAATTAAGTAATTTACACTTTATAGGTTGTATTTAATATGATTTGGTAATTTTAAGTATGTGGGTTGGAAATATATATAAACCCTTATTAGAGTTGGGACGACTTGATAATTTCCTATATAAAGGGTTAGATCCCTCTCCTTTCCATATTGGTTTTGTTAGCTTCCCCTATTGACAGCTGATACGAGCAAGGAGGGCAAAATCTAGCTGCTATTATTCATATCCATGATGGCTTCCGCAGGTATGAATTCGATTTATCAATTTATTATTATCGTGATTTCTGATTCTTAGCATGACTATTATTAAATTCAACAATTGGTAGCAGAGTTTATATGCTAAAATCAGATTCCTTTGTAAAAATAAAAATAGCATTCTTTTTCAATTCCTGCCTTCAAATTATAAAAGGTTAATACGACCCTGTTTTGAATTCTTTTAAGAGACACACAGGAAAAAAAAAAAGTAGGTAAATTGCTTTCAGAATTTTGACTTGTTATCCTGCTAGAAGGGCAAACGTGATGCATAAATATCCTGCACAACTCGTGGCTCTAAATGATAATCTGTGATTTGGGAGGAAACATTTCCAAGAAATTGAATGTTCACATGCTTTAGTCTTCCTACTTTTGTTTTCTGCTATCTGATGTGGTTTTAGTGAAAAGAAAAATATATTAAGACTTGACCGTGATTCATCTGTTTTAAGGTCAGGGCGTTTAGTTTGTTCTTTAACTTGTTTTCATGGTTGTGCAAGAAATTCCTACAAAGTCGGAATCTGTGTTGAAATATTCATTGGGTTGTTTCTTAGAAGTTATGTTGTTTTCATTCTCAACAATTGGTGTTTATTAACTGAATTCATACCTTAAAAGTGCACCATAAACTGGAACATGTTAATAAATTGTTTTTAAGAGATAAATTTTAAGATTGAAAGAATTATATGCATAATGATTTGTTTTAGATATTAGTTATTAAAAATTTGCCCATCATTTCTATCTTTCTATTTTTATATAATGATTAAATTTTAATGTGTATTATACTCATTTACCTAAATAAAGTTCTATTGGAGTTCCAACCTAAATGGTCATGTTGATGGAAACCTCGTAAATGATTACTTTCCTTACTTTCTTTCTTCATCTACTTTTGCTAACAAATGTTGTATATAGATAAGCAAATACGGATTCTTTGGTGGCCAAGATTCTATAGAGAATCACAGGAAGTATGGAGCAAACCTTGAGGTACTACAATTTTTATCCCAGCTCATATTCTAAATGGAAATTGAAGTAACCTGTGTGCAAATCTTGACTAGTTTCCCACCTTCTGTTCATTAGCATGAATTTATGCTTTGTGTGCAGGAAAGTCACTGTTTGTCACGGTTTATTATCCTTTTTGCTTACTTATTATTTGTGATTGTGATGGAGGAGTACTGATCTCTATCTCTTCTTGGACTTTATTAGGTAGACATACCCGTTAAATATCTTGGTTTTTTCCTGGAAGATGATGCTGAACTTGAACACATCAAAAAGGTAAGACAGTAATGTGGTAGACTCTGTAACTTTTTCTTTTTTGGCGATATAATCAATAATTTTCATTTAATCTTGATGTGTTGCAAACAACAACGTACTTCTATTTTTCAAATAATGCTCATGTTATCATTTATCAAGAATATGGGGCAGGTCGTATGTTAACGGGTGAAGTGAAGAAGCGGCTTATCGAAGTTCTAACAGAAATGGTTGGAAGACATTGTAGGGCTAGAGCTGCCGTTACAGACAAGGTAACTGATTAGTTCCTATTATTATTAATTGTTGCCATTGTAGTTAGGTTAGACTGATTTTTCTAAAAGCTTATTGCGGATAATCCTATTGTGATTTTTTAGTGTCAGTAGTTGTGGAACCTCAAAATCATAATTACAGGGATCAAACAGATATAGGAATTCTCATAATCTTGTGATGTTTGGCTAAAGAAACCACAAAAAAATAATCTGGCTCTATCTGGTTAAGTATATATTGGTTGGGTGCATTTTTATTTATTTATTTTTTTTTGGTGGCCTAGGAAAAAATAAATTCTCTATCAACTAAATAATTCATCCAACTTACAAAAGAGTGAACTCCAATAATTAGAGTGAAATTATTAGCAGAGCTATTAGTTGGTTATCTATTGGATTAGTTTTAGTTGTTTGGGTAGTCAGCACCAAAAGGACTAAGTTCTTTTTACATAACTTTGGACGTTTTTCTTTTTGTTTTAACTTTAAATTTATACCTTTGTTTATTTTAGGGAAAATTGCAACCGAGGTACCAAACTTTTCGTTTATTAGCAGACTTTGTCCAAACCTTTAGTTTGGGTCAACCACGATACCAAACCTTTCAAAAACTTACGTGGAAGTCCAAATGGATGGAAACTGTTAATTTGACCATTAGTTGACCGAATATTTAACATTGACCATTATTTTGACTAATTTTAAAAGGATAAAATGGTAACTTTACATTTTTCAACAAAAAAAAAAATTACAATATATTAATAATTAAATCAAAACACAAAAATACTATTCACCTTCTTCTCCATTCACCCCATACCCACCCACTCCACAAAACAAAATCCCACCAAAATTGACCATCCACAAGCAAGAGGCACCTTATGACACCGAGGCAGACGAAGTAAGAAGCAACTTGTCTGCAAATTCACGAAAAACACAAAAGCTCCAGAAGACAGCAGAGTCTGGGTGGGCGTATACAGGTAGTGAGTATGCAAGCAAGAAGGCACGTGGTGATGTGAACAGGAAGGACAAGCTTGAACCTTATGCCTATTGCCCACTTGACCGAAAAATGATGAGTCGCAGGCCAGAGCAACGTGCAGCTGCTAGGAAAGGTATGGCAAGTGTCGTAAAGTTAACAAAGAGGCTAGAAGGAAGAAGTGTCTCAAATGCACTTTCTATGAAGGGAGTTAAGTTAAAGAAGGGCAAAAAGGAAGGGAACCAAAAGAAAAGTTGAAGTTAACTGTCTTGTAGATCAGACAGGGAATCTGCAATTGAGGCCTTTGAAGTTCCATAGAGCTGCGTGGGTGGATGGTCGGTTTTGGTGGGATTTGGTTTTGTGGAGTGGGTGGGGGGTGGATGGAGAAGAAGATAAATAGTGTTTTTGTGTTTTGATTTAATTATTAATATATTATAATTATTTTTTTGTTGAAAAGTGTAAAGTTACCATTTTATCCTTTTTAAATTAGTCAAAATAATGGTCATTGTTAAATCTTTGGTCAACTAACGACCAAATTAACAGTTTCCATCCATTGGACTTCACTACAAGTTTTTGAAAGGTTTGATATCGTGGGTGACACAAATTAAAAGTTTGGACAAAGTATGCTAAAAAACGAAAGATTTGGTACATTGAGTGCAATTTTCCCTTTGTTTTATGGTCTTCTGATTTAAAAAGAGTAAAAGTTTCAATTCACATTGCTTATAACCAAGTTGGATGCTAAAATTTGGTTTCAATGTACTTCAGAAGAGGTAGCTCTAAATTGATATGAATTAAAAATAAATAAAAATCCATGTCCCTAACTCAAGATCTTATTGGTAATAATTTTATCTATACTAGTGAAACGCACGTGCAAGGCATGTGCTATAATGTATTTGGCTACGTAATAACATAAACATAAAAAAATTATTTATGTTAAGTAGTTACATCAAACTTCAAGCACCTGAATGCACCAAGGATTGGAAAGGAAATTATAATGAATTTTTCATTCATTTCATAATCAAATTTAAAACTTCTTATTTGTTTTCTTGTTCTGCCATATCCACAGGGAAAATAAATAAAACATCAAATTGCTTTAACTCACCATACTGTTTAAACTGCTCAACTACTTCTTGTTCTCCAAACTTGAATAGAAGGTCACAGATGTTGTAGATGCTCCTTCGATATTTAGAAATGAAAAACAGGAAAAAGAGCCAAAAAAATCTTCAACTGGAGATTTATTATAATAGGGAAATAAGCAACCTAGAGAAAAAGGTAAAATTAAACATCAGTTAAAAAAGAATAAAAGATCTGTAAAATTCTTGCAAACGTAGACAGCATATCTATGAATTTGACTTCATGAAAATGAGATTTCTAGCAAATATGTCAGAAACCTAAAATATCATAAATGCAACTATGTTTACCGATTAGTTCAAAGTAAGAGCGATAAGTCGACGTACACGTAGTACTATCCTTTTTGATAAAGCAATGAATTGGAGCATTTCAGGGGCCTAGACAATTGCAATTATAGATAAAAACAAGACAAACGTACATAATACACTACACATCATGAATATTAGAAATGAAAGAAAAACTGAATGCATGAAGAAAACTTACCTTCTTTAATGAAGTCTTAGCATTCCTTGATATGTTATTCTGTATCTTAATTAATGACAATGAAAGTAATATTCTTTATGTAACCAAATGTATCAAGCCTCCAAAATTTATTCTTTATTTTGCCTCGTTAATAATATTAATAGATACATAGGTGGTACAGTGCTCGTATGTCCAGGGTTAACAATTACCTATGGTAAGTTGGGTTCTTACACTGAGATTCATCCACAAATTCAGCAGCTTCTTCCAAAAGAAGATCTATTTCTGGCATTTCGTTCCCAATCACATCTTTCAAAATGTATGTTTCTAGAACTGTCAGTTGCAGCAAAACATATCCTAGCTTTTGCTGCATAAGCTAAAGCTTGCCACTACAACATATACAAGAGAGAAAATTAATAACGCAAGTGGAGAAGAATAGTTCAACTTGTCGGGTATGAAAGTATCATAAACTTTCAAATCCTCTTGCGAATTCAACGGGTGCAAGCATAAGATGACCCGAACATTTGATTATCAGAGGACTTTTCAATGAATTATGAACTCACATGGCTTGGGGCTATATGCTTGCCACTTAGAAGATCTAGTAGCATTGTTATAAAGCTGTAAACTACACTTTCTTAAGTCATTCTTCGTGCCAAACATCGAAGATAAATTACCAAAAGTTAAACTTACGTAGCTGCATATATAATATCATTTCTTATTTGTACAAAGTAGTTTATTCCATAACTTAATACAGTAGTTCAAGAAGAACACTAATTGTCCAGATGTGCATGCAAATTACAAGTGTAATTTGTCGAGCATCTTCGTAACCTTGGTATCCAACTTCACATGTACTGAGAGATTCATAGGGCAATATTACCACTTCATAGAGAAATCACAATTATATACCAGTTCTCAAGAACTCTGGAGGAGTGAAAGCTAAGTTTGTACTGTAACTTTAGCCATCTCGACTATTCTTCATCTGGCCAAAGCAGGAGAGCAGAGGATTCCCATCCTGTATGGCTAGTGAATGAATAGAAGACCACAAAACATTCAGTTTTGGAAGGAAAATCTTAACTTACATATTGCAAATTTTACCTTATCAAACAAGACTCTGTAAGCATTAAGATCGTGGTACAATGTCTGTCCACGACTGCTGCAGTACTCTAGAGGTTGTGCCAAATACAGAGCCACCCACAACCTCAGTTCTCATTTCATGGGTTGCTTCTCTATACCAATATAACCACTAAAATATATTAGAACACTATCCATACAAAACCAATTTGGCCTAGAAAGCATGGGATATATCCAAGAACAGTTCACTAAAGCAAATTAGATCTCAAAATCAATGTGCATATGAGAATTGACTGCATATGTATACATGATCAAATTTACCATTATTTTATTTTAGGGACTAAGCTTTCTGAAAAAGAATGCAATCAGAAAATAAACTAAGACATAAATTTCCACTACCTATACAATATGATTAGGCTCCACACATATTCAGTGTTCTATTTATTTGGAAAATATCCACGACCGAGATGTAATGTAAATTGCAGTAATTCTGTAATGGTAATATGCATATATACAAAACTCTAAATGAAATAAATGTTTTGCCAGAATTTCATTAGGCATAAATTCCGCTAAAAGTAGTCTTACCCCTTCCTCATAGCAACAACTTATCAAATTAACAATTGCTCACTTCTCAGGTTCCCCACTGCCTTGGCTTCATCCTATAATAACCGACCAAAAAACAATAACACGAAATTAATGACGATCTTCTGATTGATAAGAAAATAGTAAACACTAAATACTAACAAAGAATAGGTAAAAATCATGTCAATTAGACTTATTGAAGTGCTTGATAGCAATCCATTGACGATTTTCAAGAAATCCTTTGTACACTACTTTGGAAGCCTTCTACCCATGCTCTGAAATAATGGTCTCAGAAGAAAAGTCATTTGTAGCAGATTTCAGCTCCTCACAGCTGAACTATCTGAAGCTTGGCAATTCATTTTTCTCCCCATTTTCTATAACCATTTTACACAAAACCCAAAAATGTAAATAAAAGATCCAAACCCCCTACAAATACAGCATGATAGTTAAACATATTACCCAGATCAGAGGATTAAAGAACAATGGGCTAAACATTAGAATGCAACCACCAGAATGAATTGCACCCATTTTAATGGCAGCACAGTACAAAGAAACTAAAGCAATTAAAGAAAATTCTCAACAAAACAAATGTAGAAATTATAGTAAATAAAAATTGAGGCGTTGTATTATAATGAAGGAATGGAAGTTATTGTTTAAATACAATAGAGGATTTTGGTGTTCATATTTCAAGACAAGAGCACGCATTATATGTGCAAGGAAACAAATAGCAATTGATAATAAAATCATGTAAGATATTATTCCAAAAAACAATTTGCCTTATGTTTCAACTTGCTAACATATGACGTCGTCTAAAAAGGTTTGGTAGAGAGGCATAAAGTATTGGTTCGGTATTGACACTACCTTTTATTAAAAAAATTTATCATACAAAGGGAGTAGAAACGACAATCAAGTGTTGTCCAAGAGATAATATTGAACACATAGAATTCATTAAACATCAGAAAATATTAAACATTATAAACATAAAAGGTGGTAAGAACATGAACCCTTATTCTGTTGTCCAAGAGATAATATTGAACACATAGAATCCATTAAACATCATAAAATATTAAGCATTATAAACATAAAAGGTGGTAAGAACATGAATCCCTATTCTTGCTATCTTGCCAGTCATTTCATCCACAATGGTAATTCCTAAGCCTCGACGTTCAGCCTACTTCTTGTACATTTACATTACCATTGAATCCCAGTCCACGCTATCAGTACCACAAGCTCCGGCTTGAATCTATAATTAGTAGAAAAAGATTGATTTTCGCCAAATTGATTCAATAAGTGCAATTATATCTAGATAATAATACCAATAAAACAAAATTATTGAGTCCACCAAGAAATAATGAAACAATTACACATTTTTACAAGGACAAAATTCAGAAGCAAATACTTATTAATATTTAAATGCACCTAATAGGTGGCCATTAATATAGCTTACCTCTATGAAGTTAGAAGTATCACACTCCCTAGCTAACAAAGCTTCAAACTCTCCTTTCCGTTGATGTTTTTTTCTCATTGTAAGTAGAGCCTTTTGAGATTCCTATTAATTAGAAGAATAATAAGTTAATCTCACATGCAACTCATGAGGAAAGAATCATCTTTTCAATATTTACATCATCCGTAAAATTAAAACACCGCCAAAATGAATTTTGAATACAGATTACTTCTAGATTACACATAACATTAAAGGAAAGCATTCCATCCGACTCTCCAAAAACCAACTTTTGTATTTATATTTTCTTGTACCTAAATTATTATATGAATTAATCTATTGTTATTTAAATTCCATTACATTAACTATACACACGTACAAATCACATTTTCACCCTAACAAATTAAATTCATTTAATCCAATAGTAACTTAGGATAAAATACATCACAATGATCCAACTAAGTTTTCTAAGAGACCTAGATAGAGGAAAATCAAGATTTATGATCCAATTATTTTTAAAAATGCGCGAGTAATTTAAGTTGGTTGAAGTTTGGAAAGAATGATGAAAATAATATAAATGAGTAGTTTCATGCCAAAAGTAGAAACATTATGAAACTCTATAAAATAGAAAAGAAGGATACATGCTCGAAAAA